AGTTTGTTTTGAAGAGAGTCATACTACAAGTAAGGATCACCTGATACCTTCTCTAAACAGTCTGCAAGGCCTCCTGTTCCAACGCTTTTTGGATAAAGGCAATTTGGTGATAATTTGAGTATTTGTTAACAATTGGCTAGGGTTTTTGCTTGTTCTATTTCAGATATTTAATGTAAACTATTCTAGAGAGGTGAGGTTGTCACGGTTTCTGCATTCATTATTGTTTATTACCTTAGAAAACCAGAAAGAAAGTACCTCAGATATTGATCTTGTTTTTAAAAACTTAGATTAGCAGATGCTGCTAAAAGTCAGGTGGGAAAAAATGATGGTTAAACGTGATTTTATTGTGTATGCTCCTGCAGTTCACTTGTGCCTCTTACTGTCTTCTATAGTAAATAACTCATTTTTGCCTTGGCTATTGCAATAATTTCCTTTAAAGGACTACTCTCATTTTGCCTTCCGCTGTGTCAGAAGCACTGATGCTGAAAACAGTTTTTAATTTATCCATTGATACCATTCTTTCCTGCACTCTGAGAACTGGCTCTCTGCCTTCTCCCCACTACTTCAGATTTTATTTTTTTTTTTTTTTACCCTTAAGGCTTTGGATTATCTCATTTTTGCTCTATTTTTTCCCTCTCCTTCAACTATTTACTTCCTTTCCCACTATATGCTTCAATTCTTTCCACAGAGGATGTTTCAATTCATCTTTTCTCACTTAGCAAATATCTCCACAGAATGTCTTCTCTTTTTTCCCACTAATTCTTTCTCTATAGCCCTCCTATATTGGGTTTTCTGTGTTATTTTCTGGAACCTCCTGTAGTATATAAGAATGAACTGAATCTTCATCTGGATATCACCTTACATTCATTTTGCATTAAAGTGAGTGACTACACAATATGATTCACAGGGAATCCTTTGCCATGTTCTCTGGTATTTGTATTTTAGGTCTTGCCCCACTGATTTTTCTTGCCTGATACTCTATGCTACTCCATTGATTACAAGCAACTTTGATACTACTGGGAAATAAAATTGGTATCTGTACAATTAAAGTCATAATGTCAGTGAAATCTGCAAATATAAATGTTGACAGTAGCAGGCTTTAGATCCGAATGGTGATGTACAACCTACCTCTTATTTTAAAGGCATGTTTTAGACAATGGGATGTAACTTTTATCAGAAGGTAGCTCTAGTTTTCATTTGTGTCTCGCTACCCCCTTTTCCTTCTGCCCTCTTTAAGCAAACAGGTTGAATACAAAGCCAAGGGTTCTTAATGTTTACAATTCACTTGTTTACTTTCATTTGCGGTTAGGCTGTCAGTCTGAAATTCTATCATCTCTGATGAGCCTTCCTTGCAAAATATTTAAATTCGTCTTTATTTGGAAAAAAACAATCTTTAATTTAATGCAATCAGCTGCAGTTGGGTTACACTGATGAGCTGGATCTGGAGCTTTGGGCTCATGCTCCCTCAGGATTTCAGAACTGTAATATCTCCCCTGCATGCCTTATTTTGCTCCTATCCCAAGAACTTAGACATCTTAAATTGCACGAGTGAGGTGAGTACTTCACTGAGTGCTGTTCATACTGATCTGCCTCTTGATCAATCCAATGCAACTGGATCCATTCTCCATTGCTTAATTACCTTTAACATTTAAATTTGTAACTAACTTCTACTATGAACACATTATTTTTGATTTCCACTTGTTGCATGTAATTGTACCTTCATGTGTTAGATCAATGAAACTCTTATTGAAAAACTGTTGTTTGTGCATGTCCTTATGCAATTAATCCCCTGAGCTAAGTATGTTGAATTATAGAATCTCTCAATTACCTTCAATCTCCTAGCAATTTAATCCTTTTCATAATACTTTTTGAATAATGTTCAGCAATTTATAGGAATTTTTGTTGAAACAGTGGCATAGATTAATTATTTCACAATGGCCAATACCAGTGCTCATTATGCAGATAACATGGCCTTGCATTTGGTGGAATGTAGTTAATTTAAATACCTAAATGTTCTCTAATCTTTAGCTAATTAATGGAGCCATCCTGAAGTAAGTCCTTGCAGGGGAAGAGCCTCCTTTGAGGGAAAACCAGTAGGAATTAGGGAATTTGAAAACCTGGTGCCTCCATTACTCTCTGTGAAATTTGGGCTTACACTTGAATGCAATACCTGATTCAAATTAAAAAAAGTTTAGGCATAGGTTACATGCCTAAGTTATATGTACTGAACCCCAGTTACGTATTCATTTATTACCAGGGCACCAAGCTATTTAGATATTGCCTGAGGTCCAACTCATACGCACGATCCACGTTGTGATGGGGTACAGCAAGTTAGCCTAGTATTGAAAATATAGTTAGTCTCTTCGCTCTGCCATAAAGAGACTTTCATTCAAATCCAAGGTACAGGAAAGCTCCACTATAACATTAATTCTGAATTTTTTAAACTGCTTCTCCAAGTGCCTCTAAGTTTAAGGTTGCCAAACTTGAGAAAGGAAGAGAAGTGGAAAACTAAGAAATATGTGCTAAGACATACTTGTTTACATTAACTGAGGTTGCCTGTTCTTCTGTCAGTTCATAATATTAGCTTCTACCAGGAATTAAGAACATCACATTGCTTGCATATTAGAAGCTCCTGCCAACTCTGGATTTCTGAAGACATTATGAAGTGCACACTAATGAGTGGGTCAGTACTGTCCATCATGTTGTCCACATGCTGAAATGCCATGCTTTCTATCTGCCCTGTGTTCTGCCTTCAGAGCTTGTTTGACTTTGCGGTTGAGTGGCACCACAGACCTCATGAAGGTCTGTGCACAGTAAGCCTGTGGTTCCCTTAGCTCTGCCTCGCTAACCAACCCCCTTATGTAACTTGGCACTATTCAATGTGACTAACAGCCTCTGTCTGCTTGGGAGAGCTGTGGGCCTGAGTCAATATTTAGATGAGAGCTGAATCAAGCCATGTTGTGTAAAGGAGTTTATACTGTGGTTCCCTGTGAGCTGTGGGCTAAGAGCTCAGGCTTGGAAAAGGCTGATTCAAAACTGCTGGGATAGGCCCTCTTCTCGTTGCTAAATGAGAGGTGATGGGCTCTAGGAGGAGGAAACCATCTGAGGGCTGGAAGAAACACTACCAGTTGTCACTCTTTGGTCCTCAGGTCAATCTCTGGGCTTAGAGCAAGCTCCCAAACCCCCGTTACCAGCTTGTGAATTATTGCAACACAGTCGTCAGTCCTATCCCAAAAGAACATCCTACTGGGCCTCTTTGGAAGTAGGCATGGAGGTGGGCCCTGAAACATAGTTATAGGGTCATTTGCATGTAGCATAGGAGCCTGAGCTTCTTCCTGGAAACATCATGCTGTCAAGAGCCCTGGCATAATTACTGGTAGCAGCATTCATTTGGAATATGGGATCTGAACAGTGTGTAAATGTCCCCATTGTAGGGGCTGGAAGAAATAAACTGCTGGAAGAAACACCAGTTAGTGAGTCTATTAGGTGAAGCTTCAGAGATGATTAAGATGGGTGAATGGGGCTAAAGTGTTATTCTTCTGTAAAGTCCAGTGTATATCCCACAGCACCTTCGTAAAGTCTATTAACATAAATTTTTGGAAAACCATATAACAGAATCATACTGAGAATGGCCACAAGAGATTTAGAGCCTTTATCCTATGAAATCCAGCTACAAAATCCATTCAACTCCTAAATTTGGCATTTCATTCACTTTCCATTTTGTAAACAACAGGTGGCAATGTGGCTTCCCAGGGACTGATCCCAGGCCGACAGCTCAAAGATGTACATCCCATGGTATGGAGCCCATCCAAACCTCCAATGGCCCCTCAGAGCCCCTACACTGAGCAGAGCAGGGCTTAGACTCCAGTTTTCTCACACGGGTCATGTTTCACAGCAAGTCCCTCACAGGGTAGACAGGCAGGCATTTTGAGAGGCTGCACTGCTGCTTGGAGCCACAGCAATGTGGGGGGTAGGCTCTGTTCAGTCCAGCATTAACCCCAACCATCTGAAAAGCTCGTACATTAATTTCCATGGATAACAGCTCTAATAATTGGAGTATGGGGGTGGATGGGTAGAATTAGTCTTGTGATATAAGAGATTGAGATCTTGATATTGTCATACTGACTTGGCTGTGCTAATCACACCTCATTTTTTGGATGTCATGCTAGAACAACTCTTTCCCTTCCCATGACCTTATGTAACTCAATTTGCCTTTCACTTTGCATCTCCCACGTATGAGACATTACTGTCTCCCTCTCTCTGTGCACGTTGTAGTAATTTATTGTTTTCCCAAGCTGTGTTTTTTTTATAGTTCATTCCAGATGTGGCCCTGCTAGAATAAGTATTACCCTATCCTCTAACAAACACAGTGACTGCTAGAAAATTTTCCACAGTCAAAATTCTTCTCAGATCTCTCTAATTTTATTTGTCGCTAATCTCAACCTCATATTTTTTGGAAGGCATAAAATCTCTGCAGGTGTTTTCTCTGCAGGCTGTTTCCTACATGCGTTTGATTTATTATCCTTGCTCATCACCAAAAGGAACTTTTGGAGGTGGATGGCATTCAGAAACAGAAGCATAAACTTCTACTGCACAGTGTTTGCCTCAAAAAGAGAGAAACTCTCTGTCAATTTAAGTGAGTTAAAATCTTAAGCATAAGGCAAGCAGAAAAGTGTAGTGACAATTAACCCTTCTAAAACAGCTCTGTTTGGACAAGCCTGCTTAGTTATGTTGGCAGGAAAGTTGGAGACGTGCTAGGCTGGTCTCACTGCAAAGCACAGCAGCTGCCTGCTCGCAGCAGGCAGGGCATGTGTGCATTCTGAAGTCCTGAACTGTTTCTCTCTAGTCTCCAAATGCAGCGTCTCAGACCCCCTGCAAAAATCTCCGGCATGGCTTTAAGGATCGAATGATTAAGCTAACGTTAACCAGATGGGAACTTCGACACAGACAGATGAAAGCAGAAAAGCGCAGACACCAGAGAGAGAACGCAGTTACTGTACCTCAGCAAAAGGCACCCAACTTCCAGTAGCTACTGACTGCTGCTGCCCTCTGATAACAGTAGCTTCTTGCGTGCTGACCGCTGAGCTACCTTCAATGTCAAACAGAAAGACGCTTCCCGCGCTCGAGGCTGTGCTGGAGGAGAAGCATCTCGAAAAGAATAATATAGGAAAAACCAGGGGCCAGGCGGAGATCAAAGCCATTTCCTCCCCTTACATCCAGCAGTGGTCTTCTAGAGTCTTAGTAATTGTTTACCCTCTTCTGCAATCAGCCCCCCTTGGCTTAGTGGTGCCTCAGTTATTTTAACTTTCTTTCAGCGTTCAGTTTCCAGATGTGGCACTTCAAGGCAGTCTAACCAGATCCTTATTTAAAAGGGTGAAAAAAAAAAAAAAAAAAAAAAAGCAAAGAAGGGAAGAAAAGCGCTTTTGCTGCCTCCCTCTCTCGTTCACTCTCTGTGCCTGTGGCTCCTCTTTTCCCCAGAGGCTCCAGCTCAATAACATACAGATGGGCAGTGCTTAAGCAGAGAGTGTCAAGCGGAGGTTGTGTTCCAGGAAAGCACCGCTGGCTCCCCAGCCACCTTATCTCCCCCTGTCAGGATGCAGACTGACGCTGTGCGCGGTGCTCTGGCTTCCTTCACATGTTCACATCGTTCCCTTTTTACCTTTCGTGCCCAGACCCTCCCACTCCAACTTTGCTGTTCAGAAGTGAGGTCAGCTTTCCCCCCCCCACCACCCCCACTGCTCTGTCTGGGTATCCTCAGCCCCTCTGTGCAAAGAGGGGGCATTTGTGACTAAGTTTTTTGTTTTTTGTTTTGGTTTTTTTTTGGTTTGTTTTTGTTTAACATCTTGCTTAGACAGTGGAAAGCAGAAAAGTGCCAAATTTATTAAAAGCTGCCCAACAACCCTTCTCTTTGGTCAGAGGGAGGGGAGGCTGTGGATGGGGGGAGGAGGAGGAGGCAGCCTGGCTGTGCCGTGGGCTAATAGGGCAAAGTGGTTGCTCTGACATGCTTCATTCAAGCCCTTTTCCTCAAGCCCACCTCTTGGCTTCTCAGCGGCTCGTGAAAAAGAATATCGTTCCCTGAAGTTTTGGAAAATGACTTCATCACTCAGACTCATGAACTTTTATTTACAAAGAGCATCTTGTATTCCTTTTTCAAGAGATGCTTTGTGAAGCCCTGCTAACAAGGCCTGCAGTGTATGAAAGCAAGCTTAATATATTGCCCACAGATGACCTAATTTTATGTCTACATCTCAGAAAGACAAAGCAAAAGCCTTCTTATGTTCTGGGGCAAAGTGAAGATGTAATTATACTAAAGTGCACTGCTCCTTCTGAGGGTTCAGTACCTTGTCCGTTAGCTGTTCTATTTTCAGGACTTTATGACAGCATTGCACTAGAGATTGGCTTTTTGGGCTTTGTTCTGAAAGTGTATTCCCACTTTTTCCTCTCCTTCCCTCTTCCCTTTCCAATCTGATTAAAGAAATTATGAATTGATTTCAATAGGGAATTAAGGGTAAAATAAAGTGCTTTGGTGATCTATGAATTTCACACACCTATGTGTTAAGATCTGTGCCCTTAAATGCCATACAAGTGTCATATAGGAACTATAAAGAAGTTACACGTCAAGAAATTCTCTGTGTTTCAGAAGTGGTGTGAGCAAGGAGAAAAAGCTGTGCAACTCAAGGTTGTGAGGATCCGGTCCAAAGAGTGCAGGAGGAAGTAAAACATGGTCGAGGTGGTTGCAAGTAATTCCACCCTGAGCACAATGTAGACCTCTCTGTGGACAGGACCTGAAATGGTGACAAGCATGCTGCCTCCCAGGAGACTGATAGAGAGATGTTGTTAGGGGCTGTCGAGGCTTTTCCAGCTCTTTCTGCCAGTGGCAGCCCGGGGAATGGCCTGGAGCAGGTCCGAAGGATTACAGAGCAAAAGACAGTGAGGACTTCTGGCCAGGGCCCCACAAAGTTCCCATTAGACCTCCTGTTACAGGGGCAAGTTTCATGTGGGAAGGTAACAGTTAAAAAGAAGGAACAAAAGAGAGAGAAAACATCTTGAGAATAAGTGACAGAAACACCACTAGTGTGACAGCAATGGAGATTTAAAACTACCCAATGAATTGTGCAGCAAATTACTAGACTGTGTGAGACAATTTTTTAACATTTTTTTCTTTTTCTTTTTTTTTTTTGGAGGGAAAGCAATTAGCAGAGAATCTTCTATATCTGTTCCCAGCCATTTGGAAGGAACTGTTGAGAAAGAAATAGAGAATGACAACTTGGGGAAGAGTTACTTCATGTTCATAAACCTGTAAATGAGGAGGACTGGAAAGTCAAATCTATATGTTTCTGGTAGGGGATCTTTAACAAGTTCAGATACTTCGGAAGAAATTTCTCTTGCTTAATAGAAAAAGGGACTGAAGAATGTAGGTTATCTGGAAAGAAATGACATGAATCAGAAAGATGGAGAATACAAGAAGATTTGATCAATCTGGGAGTAATTTCTGGAGCTGATGCTCAAGAAGAAATGTGGGAAGTAAAATCTGAGACTACATCCGAGCTGAGAAATACTGACCCAAAAGTTGAAAGCTAAAGGCAGAAAATGAGATGTGATTTTGAAGACAGTAGGTACGAGAAGATGATTTAGAGTGGTTAGTCACTGGATAAGGCTGCCCAGAGAGATTGTGGATGCCACTCTGGAGGCATTCAATTCAAGGCCAGGTTCGGTGGGATCCTGGGCAGCCTGCTCGGGTGCTTGGCAACTCTGTCCATGGCAGGAGGTTAGAACTAGATTATCTTCAAGGTCCCCTTCAATCTAAGCCACTCTATGGGTCAGTGATTTAGGAGATCCTTGGTTCAAAATTCATGAAAGAGGGAAAGATATCAGCGGAGAAATCTGAGACATGAAAGTGTTAAAGAGGAAGGAATGGATAAACGCCTTCTTGAGGCTTTTCCTAGCTCTATGAGCTTTAGTTTTCCTAGGAAGTCATTAGCTGTTATAGTTTTGGCTCTGGAGAACAAGACTTATTATTCTAGTGGAACAAAAAATAAGGTGTAGAACTGTATTTCTACAATTGCTTGTGTGTATTTTTTTTTTTCTGGCTTGTGTTGCAACAATGAGAAAAAAGATTCTTTCCAGTTTCACAGTTTTGAAGCTTTGCTTCATTGGTAAGAAGAACATTTTCGGTTAACTTCAGTATATATATTTTCAGAATAAAAGACTTTGAAAGCGTCCCTTTTAGAACAGTCGTCTGTAGAGTCTCTTTGTATCTTTTCATCTGTCTAATAAATTGAAACTGGTACAATTTAGGCCTGAGTCACAAGAAGTATCTATGTAAGAGACCAATTTTAGGTATCAATCATAATGTTGACTGATTCAGTTTTGAGAAATTAATGTATTTGAGGAATTTAAATTAATTGAATTATTACACTTTGACAACTTAATTTTTTTAATTGTCTTTTTATTACAGAGATGGTTAAGGAAAGCTGAGTATTGCATGCATGCACACTTGGTTTTGGCTGAGATCATGCTGTTGTGTATACAGGCCACATAATGGCTTTGGAGAGTTAAGTGCTTACATCTTCAAAAAAATTTGGCTGAACTGAGTTATTGTATTGGGAATGAATGGCAGGACTTGGGAGCAGGGGCTGTGGGGTACCCCATGCAGGAGGCAGCCATGGATTGCTCTGTTTTGGCTCAGAAATGGCTAGAAACTGTGTTCCAAATCATGGTTCTTTTGCTCAAACACTTTCAAGAAAAGGCAGTGCTGCTGGGGCAGGAGATACTGAAGAAGCCATGAGGGCTAACTGCAAACACACTAAAGGAAAGATAAGAAGATGCTAAAATTGAGTGCGTGAGAAAAGTGTGAAAGGATACATTTGGAGAAATGGAAGGGATGCTTGGTAGAGGGCATTGCTGGGGAAGTGGTTGGTGATGCAGACTAGAGGGGCACACTTGGTGCTACATGTAGAGTGAATCTGAAGGACAGTGGCTTTAGTGACTCACAGCAGGGCATGTACACCCTCAGGGAAGAGTAGCCTGCAAAATGATCCAGGCAGGATTAGTGAAAAAAAAAAAAAGATTATGTGAAATCAGCATTGTTACCCATCACATCATTTTTATGTAAAATCAGAATAAAGATATTCATATCCCTTGTAAACAAATTCACAACACTTTAATGAAGAGAAATAGCATTTTAATTATTCTCAAAATCAAAATCTTAAAACAAGGAAGGTGTCTGGTTAATATTTTTAGAAAATTAGATCCTTTAAAAAAAATCTCAGACTGGCCCCGGGCATTCAAAATCTGGAAAATTTCTTGTGATGAAACCACATAGGGAAGGAAATACAGATAATTACAGGTGATTAAATTATTAAAAATTAATGATTTATTCTTATGAAATATTAGGAACCAAAGACTACACAGTTCATCACTGCTCACAAGATCTTAATCTCTCAAGCACATATTAGTCCCATACCAGAAGAATTATAACCAGTTTTTCTGAGCAGAAAACATATATACTAAAATCACTGAATATTTCTGTACTTTGCATCATTAGGATAGCTGGTTCAGATCATGTATAAGCAACATCTGCGTACAAAAGTTGTTTCCTGCATTTACTTTTAAATCTTTAAAAATATCGTATTCCTTTTCAGAAATGGATAATTTTTGCAGAAATAATAATAAAAAAACCATAAATGGTGCATAGGATATGTATGAAAACACAGGCTTTTGAATGTAAATTTCTGCTATGATGGACTTCCCATTTCTTTATACTTGGCAGAGATGACATGGGTATGTTGCATGAGCAACCACAAATTTGGAAGAGGAATTGTTCAATATGGCAGGGTATGGAAACAGCAGTTTATCCTTCTGCTTTCGTAGTATCATCTTCTGTTCTTTCCACCAGTTCCCCCGACTTAACATTTGGTTTTGATTCCAAGCGTGAAGATGCTAGGATTAATGAGACAGAAATGAAGAATCCAGTGGAAGACTTATTAGAAATAACATATTCGAAATTAACTAATATAAAGCTGTTGTGTGTGGGCCACTGATGGCTTATTAGGCCCCAGCAGGAGATCTGCAAGCAGTCAATCAAGCTTCAGTGCAAATATTACCAGTTAAACATTTGATGTTGCATGGTGGTCCAATAGAAATGTTGACAAATGGCTGGTGTGAGTCATATAAAATATTTTGGAAACAGTTTTGAATACTTGTGTAAAGGTTAGAAGACATTGGCAGTATATCCATCTATCATCAAATGAAAAAGCATTCTACAGTCTGCATTAGGGACCTGTGTTGGCTGAGGGGCAATTAGGAATGATTTGTCAGCTATAGTTTGTGCCATAGATATGCAAAAAAAAAAAAAAAATCAGTTATGTAAACAAACCATACTGTTGTTATTTCATGTGTTTTGGATAATGTCACATTAGGAAAAGTCAAAGTTTTCATGTAGAAGATAGATAGAACTTATGCTGTAGAGTACAAGGGGAGAGTACCTTTAAAGGCTTCAAGTTCTAGATCTAGTGCAAAGGTGCACAAGCATGTTCTTCTTGGCTGTCCTTGTTAAGGGCATTATGTAATAAATTTCCCACATGACAACACTTTCAAGCCCAAAACTCTTGCTCTTTGTGTTATTAATTAGTAGCAACCCTAGGATACGGCTGATCCCAAACTACTTTCA